CACAAGTGGGTCGCAACTCATATAATACTGTAATATGAATGTATATAAACTGATATACATTCAATGGTTTCCGTTTTTACTCTAATTTCAAATCAGTTATGTTCCGCGAAATAAGCCAGCAGTCTCAATCGAATGCAAATTTCTAGCGCCTGGTTATTCCAGTCTACATACGCCGTTTGGTTTGGTGCAATATGTCTAGCCTCGTTCCTCGAGTCTCTTGCTAGAACTGGGGCTAAAACGCATTATGGTACACGATTCGTGTACCAATGGTAAAATCTTTATTTTGTTTTAAATATTGGATATCAGAAGCCCATTTTTTCCGGTAAGATCACAGCATCAATGTTGATTTAAATTGACAAATAATTTGTGTTTTCAATGTTGAAGATTTTGGATGATATTGAGTTAGAGACTTAGCTACTTTAAACCTAAAAAAACAAAATTACATGTCTATAAAAATGAACATAACCCCGTTCGTGTAACACGCAGGACTGTCAATCTAGCCAGTAAGTGAGATAATTATAGACTATTATTAGAAAGATCAAGGTGCATGCAGATAATAAATATCATTGGCCATCTACCATTTCCTTATATTTAACTACGTCATGAAACGCTAGCTTGAATAAGATCACTTCCGGTACTATCTTATTCAGTTGTCACTGAACTCGGGAAAATTATAACTCTGTCAGATTTGATTACGCAAGACTTCTTTTTTTATGTTTCATCTCATTAAATCATAGAGAGCAGATTTCTATTTTGACATTTCAATTCTTTTCATCTTTTCATATATCAGTGGTATTATTAATTCTATATTTGAAAAAACACGCCCAGAATTAATAATTATATGACAAAATAAAATAAAAGATAGTAGATAATATTTTAAATAGGGACCAAGTGGGCTTATTCGTCTATTGGTGGATTGGATTCGGCTATCATTATTATTAATAATGTCTTTTAAAATGTCAACATGTTCTCGTTCTAGATGCAGAGCAATTTAATGTTTTAACATTTCAAGATGGTGACACTTCCGGTTAGATCGACAAACTCCATATTATGTGTATGTATGCATGAGTAGTGTCTTAGCTACTACAGAATACATTTTCAAGACAATATGACCTACTTTTATTCGATTTTTTGAAATCTTTGATCCTTTCTTTCTCTAAGGGGAGATAAGTTAGAAAATGCCTAATGGCATCGTTGAAGATGGATCAGGCAGTTTCGTGAAAATCGTGGCAATATTAAAGAAGTTGTCAAGCTGGATTTTACTTCATGAACATTTGTGTTAAAATGGGTTTGCTCAATGCACGTTCGGCGAGGACCCTTGTTCACAACAACGACAAAGCCCAGGCTATTCATGATCTAATTCTTGACAATGACTAGATATTTTGCCTTTAACGGAGACATGGTTTAAAGATAACGGGTCGGATCACATAGCTGTCAACAAACCGACACCGAATGGATACCAGTTTACACAGGTTACACGAAAGGGTGAGAGAGAGAGAGAGAGATGGAGAGAGAGAGAGAGATGGAGAGAGAGAGAGTTGACTCAATGACAGACCTTATGATACAGCGCGCACGTGCTAACCATTGGGCCATCCAAGCCCCCTACACGAAAGGGGACACGAGGGAGAGGGATAGCTGTTATCCACAGAGACAATTTCAAATGTAGCATTATTAATACCTTAAAACAGACCACTACATTTGAACTCCTCTCACTGAGATTTAGGAATCAGAAATTGTCAATTTAATTACAATTTACAGACCACCACATAGGACAAGTGGCGTCTTCGATGAACTCGCGGAACTATTAGACCGTATTACCACCCTTCCAGGTAAAATCTTGATTGTTAGAGATTTTAATTACCATGTGGATCAGTCGACAAATAGTGATGCTGTGAAGTTTCCTGGATTATTGCCATCCTACAACCTTGTTCAACACATAACAATATCAACACACACTGGTGGTCGCACACTTGACCTAGTCATCACTCGAGAAGATGAGCTGAAAGTTACCAACATCACATTTGACAAGTCAGTGCAGTCAGATCACTTCGCTGTTCTATTCAACATTGACATCAAGTCACCTAGGCGGCAACGTAATACCCCCGTCAGACTGGGGTGGCGTCCTTACTGCGATGCTAATTGCTACGGCGACGGAAAATGGCCGCAGAGCGCGTCAAGATCGCCATAAGCGCGGTAAAAAGCGTGGTGGAAACGCCAGATATCGTGCTGTGGTCTCCATGGTCGTGAATGATCGCCTAGTCACCGCGTTTGTTTTAAGCGCGTTCAAAACAAGCGCAAAGGCTCTGCGATCTAACCTAGAAAGTTGTAATGCCCCAGTCAGATCGGGTGGCGTCCTTACTGCGCTGCAGCGACCGTACGGCGACCAGAAAATACACAAGGTCGCCGGCAAACGTGAACACAACGTACGAAAATGTCCCCAAATATTACAAACTTGAAAAAACAAATTGCGTTTTCACATCTTTCCAAGGCAGATCGCGGAATCTTGGCGTTTGTTTTGAACATGCTCAAAACAAACGCCGTGACTCGGCGATCATTTGCGACCATCGAGACCACAGCGTAATATCTGGCGTTTCCTTCACGCTTTTACCACGCTTATGGCGATCTTGACGCGCTCTGGGGCCATATTCCGTTGCCGTAGCAGCGCAGTAAAGAACGCGACTTCTTTCAAGTTTGTAAATTTTTTGGGACATTTTCTCGCGTTGTGTTTACGTTTGCCGGCGACCTTGTGGATTTTCCAGTCGCTGTACGGTCGAAGCAGCGCAGTGAGGACGCCACCCGGTCTGACGGGGGCATAAGGCTATGTGAATGTTGATCAATTTAATCTGACTTGGTGTCTAAGCTGCCAACATATGAGGGTCTGACAGTGTGTTGACATTTTCAAAGACATTATTAATAATAATGATAGCCGAATCCAATCCACCAATAGACGAATGAGCCCACTTGGTCCCTATTTAAAATATTATCTATTATCTTTATTTTATTGTGTCATATAATTATTAATTCTGGGCGTGGTTTTCAAATATAGAATTAATAATACCACTGATATGTGAAAAGATGAAAAGAATTGAAATGCCAATATAGAAATCTCCCCTTTATGATTTAATGAGATGAAACATAAAAAAAGAAGTCTTGCGTAATCAAATCTGACAGAGTTATAATTTTCTCGAGTTCAGTGACAACGGAATAAGATAGTACCGGAAGTGATCTTATTCAAGCTCGCGTTTCATGACGTAGTTAAATATAAGGAAATGGTAGATGGCCAATGATATTTATTATCTGCACCTTGATCTTTCTAATAATAGTCTATAATTATCTCACTTACTGGCTAGATTGACAGTCTTGCGTGTTAAAAACGAAAAATAAATAATTTGAATAAGTCATGCGTTACATGAACGGGGTTATGTTCATTCTTATAGACATGTAATTTTGTTTTTTTGGTTTAAGCTATAGAACTTCTGATATCACCTCTCACTTGTGCCGTGTTCATTAGTTAGACCAGTCGGTGCAGAATAGTAGGACATTAACCCCCATTTCATTTCATTTCCTGTCAGTTTTGTCAAATAGGTTCAAATTTTGATATACAGTTCAACTATGATGGTTAGGTTTACTGATAGATTCATTTGATGAATGGTTATGATTATGGAAATTAATGGACCAAGATTTTCAACAAAATTGTTTTTACTAATTCAAGTTCAAAACCATATTGGTGTAAGTTGACAAAAAATCAAAAAAAATCTGGTTAATTAGTTATGTGAAAGCTTTATTGGATTAAATTTTTGTTTCAAAATAATAAGGGGACGATTAAGTGAGTGAAAGACGACTGGATTACTAATTTTCTTTTCTTTTTTGGCTTTCTGACAGCGGAACACAAAACCCGTTATATATCAACATTAATTTTCTCACAAAACAAATCAACCTTTAAGATCCAATAAAATCAACAATTTTATTTTGACCCAAAGTAATCAGAGATCCTAAACTCGCAACATTTGCATAGGTAGCTTAAAGCTACTATTCCAACAAAGCTACTATTGGACCCAAAGCAAAGAGGTTTAATCAGAAATCCTAAACTAGCAATATCACAGATCTATTTATTGGTAACCTATCAGGAGACATGATAGCCCGCTCTTCGCATACTATAATATATCACATAATGTAATTGTGCGCTGACCATAAGTATCCATTCAGATATCCAATTCGATTAAAATCGGATGTTAATTACGTTTCGTTTTATTTTTCGATGTTTTACTACATTAACATTTCCTTAAAGCAAATATTGGCGTCAGTCATTATCACATAATATGTGATAGTACTGATTCCCTTGTTTTATTCATTCTATACTTAATAAAAACATGGTAACGCGCGGACTTTTTCTATTTTATTGGTTTTCTCTTATCTAGTGACAGTCAATTATTTTTTTTTTTTTGAATTGTCAGATATCCTCTCACAGTCTTACATAACAACTTTTGGTCTTCGAAGGAATTATTAGTGAGCAGAAATTCGCCTGTGTATCTGTTACCACTTCTCACTTCAGTCATTTGTTTTCCTTTTGCCTTTCGACACTACGCATCTATCGTAGCAATGATCTCTGTGTTAAAATTATATTTGGAACGTGTTTAACCAGTTCTATCACATATGTGATAATGAATGACACCAATATTGTCCTTTAAAATTGGCGGACCCGCGGTGGCTCCCGAAGTGATAAATGTGCTGGCCCGCTAACCTGGAGGTATCATGTTCGCTCCCGGTATTGGTCGAGAAAGTTGCTCGGGATTGTCTGGCGTGGTTTCACCTTGTCAGTAGTGCATGGTGGAAGACCTGACAAGGAACAGTTTCTAGTCCTTGGAATGGGACGAAAAACCGAAGTCCCGTGTATACATTGGCGTGCACGAAAAAGATCCCTTAACAGTTGGAATTCTGCCCAGCCAAAATTTCCCTCACAGAATACTGTATTTACCAATAAAACTCAAATTAGTATGAACATTTTATTACAAATATATTGAAACAATAGCAACACTGTCAAAACAATATTCTTACACTAAACATTCTTACAAAAAACAAATCAGGAAAACAGAATTTTCGTAGATTTATTTAAAAAGTCAACACATGTTATCTTTGATTAAAAAGTTACCAGGATCCTAAATAATGCGAACCTGATCTGCATTTTGCTATACAGCAGTGTATCAATCCTAAATCAAATACCCAAAATAATTAACGTTATCCGACTAAACCTTATAGAAACTTATCTATGTGCTATATACAACTGTGTAATTCTCTAAAACGACCACAATTCAATGTGGGCGCTTATAAAAAATAACAGAATCCCACGAAAGGCGGCCTTTATCTGCAACCCTGCTCTATATCAATCGGATATCCCAAAGTTAAACATTTTATTTTTTCGGAAAACAAAAGTGACGGACAGAGTGACGGAGAGGAACCCTATAAATTTCTCCAGTTTTAACAGCCGGGGACTAATAATTGTATATACACACCCATGCTTCCCGTAGTTGGCCTGTCAAAATAATATTGGTTTCGGATGGTATCTGATCTGTCGAAATGTAACAATTGGTGATTATCTTGTTTATTGGTCCTCTAATTGTCGTTCATTCGTCTGGTGCAATTTCCCGAAACCCAGTTACATAGATAATTCTTATGCGATAGAAGTGATAATGGTATTTGTAATATTTCTCAATTCTTCATTGGTGCAAAAGAATGTTTGTAATTGATTAGATAAATTTGGTGGTTACACTTATTAACTTTCTTAGAACAAAAACTGGGTGTGGGCCTTCAAAAGAATTGGTATCTGTCGAATTAAAATCTGTCCGCACTTTCGTTTTTTATGCCCTTGACATTTACGCTACTATCGAATCCAGCAACATCTATAAGACGTTTAAGTTCAATTGACTAGAGATCAGCTCTGCGCAAAAATGTTTTAACCAATCATAATGGCTTTAGATTCGTTAATGTCTTTTCTTTCTTTTAATAATATATAGTCTATTAAGCATTATACTCTCAAACAATAACAAACACTCATATAATAACTTATGGTTAACAAATAAATTATTTAATAAATATAGACACAGTAACATTATAAATATTTTATATTCTTCATAGAAATAGTGTAAAAGGTAGTGTAAAAAATCGAAGTCGCTTAAAAGAGATAATTAAGTCATTTTAAACAAGATTATTAAGTCGTGGTTAAAACATGATAATTAAGCCGTTTAAACGAATTAATTAGGTCGTTTAAACGCATTGGGTATAATTATGAGTCCAATGTGGATACCATAATGGACTCAGACTTGCATCGCGACCGGTTCATATTATTATTGCAATTTAAAAGTTAAACAGTTCATGCATGTTTATTAATGATGTATTCACTGGGTATAATCCCATATAGAAACGACTTAATATGACGATTAAACGACTTAATATGGTGATTAAATAACTTAATAATAACATGACGATTAAACGACTTAAAGCGGAAATTGCAAATTTTCTAAGAAAGTCAAAACGTAATTATTTCTATATCTTTTGCTCAACAGGTTGTCAACTCACAATTATACGATCATAGGTGTCATTCTCACACTTAAAACTCATTTACACAGGATATAATAACACAATTACCTCCCTTGTTTTCTATTCTCCACCATGGAGTAGCTTTTTTCAAACGTTTGAAAATGAAGAGGAAAATGATATTTTTGCCAATTTCTCAGCTGGCAATAGTGAATTATAGGATTAATAGGATTATTCTTTAACAAGGTAGGATTGTTTATGGATACCATCTATTTTCAGGCTTTATTTTAATAAATTTTAAAAATATAACTTAAAAATTTGCAATTTCCGCTTTAATATGGCGATTAAACGACTTATTATGACGATGAAACGACTTAATTATTTGTTTTACATTGGCCTTCCAGTGTTCCGTATTTGATAACTTTCGTACACCAATTTAAACAAATAGGTAATGAAAATGAAGGACGGATGACAAAGACATAGGCGTAGGGGCTCGATGACAGTTGGGGGAGGGGGGCAGAACCTGAAATGCCCGAAAAATGTTCGGGTTACAGATGGCGGCACCGGTCTTCTGGGAGAGTGGAGGAACGGAGCTTACCTTGTTGGGATCCCCCTCCCCCCACCAAGTTAAATTTGGAAAATTTGACGGCTGCAAACGCGTTTTCCTGCTATTCCAGCCCGTGAATACAGCAACTTCAAAGTGGTCTAACATAGCCTAATTAAGATAGCTGACTCGAATTCCAATCAACCAATCAATCGTTTACAGTCCACGGAGGCGGGACCGTTGGGAGAAAATTTTAAACATTTAACTGCCGCCAACGCGTTTTTCCGCTATTCTTCCCCGTGAGTTAAGCAAGTCCAATCCAAAGTTGTCCGATGGTTTTGTAACCGAAATCCCACTCTATGCCGACCTGAATTCCAACCATCCTATCAGACTGTTGCAGCTGCATTCACATATAATAATTGATGCCCTAAAAATGTCACACAGAGTAGAGTGACTCAAGACAAAATGTTTTAATTGGTATTCAATTAAAAGAAAAGTAAAATCAGTGTTTGAAATAATAATTTTTTTTCACTTTAACCGCCTGCCCTAAAAGTCAGATTGCCCGAAAGTTAGGGGGCAGCTGCCCCCCCCCCCCAGTCTCGTACGCCTATGGACAAAGAGTCTTGACAACACAGAAGATGAATTACATTTAAAATAACGATATACACAAATTCATTAAATTAAATTACAATTTCGTTTCGTGTATTCTTCTGAAGTAGGATATCAAATTGTCAATGGGGAGACCATAAAAAAATAAACGAAACTAAATTGAAATCAGAAAGGAATATGTTGTCTAACATTTATTGTTCACGTCGATATATATATATATTCTTTTTTCGGAAAAGTAAATATTTTATAACGAATAATCTGTTTTCAATTATCTTACTTAATTGCGTCGTGTGAGCTTTTAAAAATCGACAAACAGTAACGTCGTGGATAAAATCTGATACAGACAAATGATAAACTATCAACAAACCTATCAGACGATAATAATTACCCATGCAACAAGATTCGTGACTAGCCATTTCCTTGTCTCGGGGACCACATCATGCCATATACTACCACATTAACATATCCATCACCCCCATCAGCGCAGTCTTCGTAGCAACGGAAGCTGTCGATCGGTTAAGAATCCTTGATCCAAATCTTGAGTAAACAATAATTTACCATCACAAATTCACATATTAATTTCAAATGATATGACAAACCAATGGACACATCGTGTATTAACTGTGAGGGAATAAGGTTGCACATATTTACAGTATTTATTCCACCATGTGATTAATGAATTGGGGTTTAACGTCCATCATCCGCTATACAGTGTTATGAAGGAAATTTTTTACCTTGACAGCGGCGCTACCGCCTACTCTTATATCGAAATCCATCTGCCAAGGGATCTTTTACGTGCACTCGAATGTATACACGGGACCACGGATTTTTGTCCCACCGAACGACACTGTGTTGTCCCTTGTCTGGCCCTCGCTCGAGCACCACTGACAAGGAGGAGCACACCGGGAAATCCCGATGAACTTTCTCGGCCAAAGCAGGGATCGAACACGGGACTTTCAGGTTAGCAGCCAACGTCTTAGTCGCTGAGCCACCATGGCTCCTAATACTAAAGGAGCTAAACCACTTTTATTTAAGTCAAAATAAATGTTGAATAGCTTGAACTGTCTACCCCGGAAGCAGAGTTATTGTGTTCCTAAAGGTGTGACGGACAAACAAACAGATAAACCGACGGTAAACCCAATTCAATAATTCCTTGATTTCTACGACAGCCGGGAGTCTGAAATAGATACTAGACAAGAAGCGATTCATTTGTACCAGAATAGCTTCGATGAAAAAATTCAATCATGTTAATCCTTCTTTAATGGTAAGTTCCACAAATAACAGACAAGCGGAAAGACAGACGGACAGACGAACCCATTTCTCAGAAATAGAAATAAACCTTAGAAAAGGCAAAAATCAATTGTACCAAAATAACACTGATGCCAGCTTGCAATCATCTTCCCCCTTAGTCCATAATAAACTTCTAGTACACAGCACACAGAACATTAATTGATTTGTTAGACTTTCTCTATCTACTACAGGAAAGTGTTTTATAATTTTTCTTTTCAAAACAAACATTCATTAATCTCTCCAAAAACTCAACAATATAAATGTCAGTAATTTTAGACTACCATTCAATATCTTTCTGTGTAGACATGATATTAAGTAAGGACAGATGATCTGTGTTCAATTTAGTATTGACTTTTCTTCCTGTAAACGCTTATATAGAGAATGCCGGTTCTTTAGTATGAATGCTGACTACTGGAAATCTAACGTCTGTATTCGTTAATAAAATAAACATAATGACACGGGCAATAATAAAATGAGTATGTTGCATCCATATAATAATGCGAAAAAAAGATGCTGTTAAAGATGCACAACTGAATGATCCATCAAGAAACCATTTCGCTGTATTTAGAATCTTATTCTCTTTCTACCATTTTCACACCCACTTTCTTTTAATTTCCTTGGAATTAGGAAGCCTATATTTCTTCCTTTTGTCCAAATACTGACATTTTGATAATGGATTTAACATCAATTCCCTAATTAACAGTGTTGGATATCTGGATTAGTAAAGATAGCTTCTCTAAGTCCGTGTTTAAGAAAGGATTTACAGATTTTCTCCGCTGATTTCGATTTATACGACATGGCTTCTATGATGTTGTGTTCAGTCCTTGCCCAGGTGACCATGGTAATAAATCTAGATAAAGTTGGCAGCCCCTCCATTGCCAGATTAACATCACATCCTGCAAATAAAGAAACAGACCTACATTATCAATATTTAATCATATCCAACCGTCCAAACCAATCAGCACAGACGAAAGGCGGTCTACTAAGAAGAACTAAAGGGAATTATTTAGCAATAAAAGGATGACTGAAAGATAATAGCTAATTGTCCTGGTGGAAATGGTCTATACTTTTAGTTTAATACAGATAAGAACCTATGTCTACTTGCGTTTATCCTTCCCCCCAAAAGCTAATTAATCAGCGGTAGTAAGAACACCATCAGAGATGTGAACCACCAATTCTTTAAGATTAACCCCAGGGATGAATCAATCTCTCTCTCTAAACATTGCTTATCGATCGTTTTATTAACATTGATTTTTTAACCAATATAATTGCTTCCTAATTAATGAAATGCGACGAATTGAAGTACAAAAAAAACATAGTGTTGCTTGGCAACATTGAAGGATGACTGTTCATTTTTCAGGTCAAGGGCAACGCATAAATCTAATTAGCGACTCTGAATTTGAAGACTAAACGAACAGTTCACGTAATCTAAAAAAACTGTTACGTGTAGAGCATCATAAATATTTGATAACAAGAGTGACCCGAAACAACTGTATGAAATTGAATCTCATTGAGTTGTACAGGGATTAGTACAATGTTTCGGCGACGATTACTGCGCATAGAACTGATGTTTGACTCTGAAATTCTACAGAGTACCTCTTTTATGCAAAAATCTATGTTCTCTATAATGTTTACTCGGTTTTAGTAATAAGATTAACAACTCGCCACGCTTACTCTCAAAAATTCGGACTTATAGAGTATGTATAGAAATTATAAACATGGGGTCAGGGACGGACAGAGGTGACGATCATATACTTTTACATATAACGTGGTAGTGCACAAACTATCAACACACACACTGCATCAGATATATTTATCCTTAAGCACAATTATACGAAATTTTAAACAAGCAAACTATTAATCAACAGAAATCATAATCAGATCTCCATCAAAATACATTACTCAACTAATAGTTTTTAAATCGTTAATAAAAATAATTATATAACTTGCTTTGTGAGATCCAAAATATTAATATATATTATAGCAATATCCTAAGGATTAAAACACTTATAAGTGTTTGAAAACATGTCGAAATGAATGTAATTTAATATAGTCTTTTAGGCATAACCATTTCTTTAGCTAAAATAAAAAAAGCCCTCTGTACTGGGAGCAAACAGGAAGTGATATAAAAGATGCGACTAGTCTTAGAGACACGACACACACTCTACAAACGTTTTTAGGTTTCTTATTTTTTAAAACATTTGCCAAAACAGGAATTTCTTAAAGACATACATGAAGATCGTGATTTTATATACTTCCATTCCGCACAATGGACATGACAAAACCATTAACAGGGCCTGTCCATCTAATGAACTTATTTCTCAATATATTTGAATTTGAAAGTTTTTTGAGCAGGATCAGGGTTGTACAATGGGGCACTAAAACGGGGCCAAGTTTGTTTGTCTTTTTGTAGGAGAAATATGTTTCGTTAGTTGCACTGTTGATTCGTTACCAAATCTTTATCGACGTTTTACTGAAAACATTTTGTAATTCTTAGGCTTATCTGATCACGTTACATTCATTTAGGGCTTTGGATACCAATGATTATAGGTCTAGAAATTTCATTTGTGCCGTATCCGGCAGCGTCTGCGACATGTTCTACATTATTGGGAACAATAACCAGTGGCTAATAACTTCGTCGTCCAGGACATTTGGTAAATATGAGAAACATTTAACCATAGATACCACGAAAATTGAAAAGTTGACAAATGTAGAATTTATTGATTTTGAACTTGTTGGTTACCGCTATTGGCGTGTAATGTCATTGATGGTTCTTGTTCTGGCTAATGGTTTGATATTTTAGCCTAATCAAGACATTGAAGGGACGACAGTCTTCGAAACTGATCGAATAGGAGAACTATTGTATAGTATATTATAATACCTGTATGAAAATTAGTACATCTGGCAGATTCACCTTCAGCTATAACAAATGTATCAGATTCTCTAAAATATACAACAGTCTCTAATCTCTGCGACAGTTTAATTTCAAATAATCTTGGACTGAATTTCAGCTGTTTTAATGCAATGGAATCAGAGATGGACGACTCAGCCTCTGTTTTATACGTGTTGAAACATTTGATGAATATATTGCGCATTATCTGAAAAATAACAATAAAATACAGTAATTAAATAGCTAAACGAAACAAAGCATTATTAATTGGTATAGGAATCAATACATATTGTGCTATTGGTTTTTAAAAGATAGCCTGGGCTCCTCTTGCCTTCTTTCTTTCTAATTTAGCATTATTTATGTAAGCGATCCCAATATTTTCTTAATTATAATAAAATACTGAAGGCTAGGGGTCCTGAGAATGCAATAATTCTTGTTGAATTTGGACTGATATGACTCACTTGAGTATTTTCTTGTCGGTACATGCCAATATAGATTGCTGTTAAAGCTTAATAAAACGTTCCTTGTATGGCTTATGTTCAAAACCGCCTAAAACAAAATAGCACGTGTTGCGTGTACGTAAATTTCGACAAGGTGCTTCTTATTAACCAAATTAACAGTCCCTGCTACTGTAGTAATATGGATGGCAGGGATTTGTGCTAAAGAACACATATGTAGAATAATATTATGGTCTTGATTAATTATTCCCCATTGTCAAAATATTAGCTATGGTATAAGTTTATTTTGAAACGCAAATTAAGTTGTTTACAATATCTTTCATATTATTGATTCTAACTTCATAACCACAAAGAAAGTATATGCTCGTTATGGTGATACGTTAATTGAGCTATAGATTAATGAACATGTTGATCATTTACCTGTTTCTTTGTTATAAAACATATATCATATTTGTTGACCAAATTAGGTAATAATTCCTGTCAATATCCAGATTGCGATGCATGTCCATTCCATATTTGAAATTTAGCTGTTATCAGTCTTTTACGTAAATACCACAGACAAAAAAATAGGCACCTATAAATAAGCGGGAATAGGGGCTAGAATAGTCAGACACGCATTGGGTTCTTAAGACCACAATTTCACGATGTAGTGGTTTCCTGAGTCTAGCCACGCTGGTTAGACTTTTACAGGGGTGGGGTTGAGAGAAAGACATCTTAATTTTAAATATTGTAATGTAGACTACTGTGTAACTGTTGTGGCATAAAAACGTTTAGCAAAATCACTATCGTTGTTCCTGTTACTTATTTAATTTCGGTATCGTAAGAAAACACAATGGTGAAGTCTTTAAGAGGAAAGATACAACAGTAGCCAGTCCAGAGCCAACCAACCCCTAGACGACCGGCAATACTATTTACCGGAAAACACCGGAAAACAACCGGAAAACACCGGAAAACAACCGGAAAACACCATTTTATACTGAATACCGGAAAACACCGGAAAAACACTAAATACCGGAAATCACCCTAAATAGGTAACCCGGAGCCTGGTCCTCTGTGTGCGGTTTTGGACCAAGTGAGCGCCGATGAAGGAAGGTCAAGGTCATTAAAATGTTCGTTTTACAAATAGCCCCCCCCCCCCAAAAAAAAAAAATCGAATTTTTCCGAAAAATTGGTTTTACAAAAAAACATTCCGTAGAAAATAATTTTACAGAGAAAAATACTGGAAAATTTTTTTTTTTTTAGAGAAATCTGAAAAGAAATTTTCTTTGACGGTAGGCGCTCGCTCGCTTGTATGTTAATGAACTTATTTCATCAGCGCTCATTTGGTCCAAAACCACACACGAGGACCAAACTCCGGGTTACTAAATAGCTACCGGAAAACTTAGAAGAGTAAACTGTGCCCGAGATTTTTTTAGAAAGCCCGCCGCGCCGCGCCGCGCCGCTCCGGGAGGGATCATCGTCAGGGTGGGACGGGGGTGGAATTGTCCAGTCACGTGACGAACATAGATCTTCCGTTCCTCAACCCATATTATTTCCACAGTCATTGTCATTAATCACAAATTACGGGATGATATACGAAAATGCAGGTTTACTTTGAAATAGTGCAAATGATACTTTTCCATCTACAATCTTCAGATCAAAGGATGCAAGTTCTTACACAGTGCAGCATAATTTGTGCAACAGAAGACATCTCGAATATCGATTGTCGGAAAAAAACATTTTCTCGGGGACATTTTTTTTCCGAATACGCATTCGGTGTAAGTCTTCAGCCACCAGGAAGTGGTTAACATAGTAATGTTTTATTACGATAGTAGTACACAAAACAAATTGGTTGCATGAGTTTCTCGGGGGGAAAGTAGCCTCATCGGCTAGAGTCCTCTATTTCACAAGCAAAAACAACAATTGCTTCCTTGAAAATTTATCGATCAACCCTTTTCACAGACGTCCAGCTTACCACTTCCCGTCAATGCAGTAAGATAGAATATGTAGTTTTCTCATGGACAATTGGGCGAAAGTTGGGGTTTTCTCAAGGAAAACTGGTCAACAAGTTGGGGAAAAAAGTAATCCAGAAAAAAATCCTGTGTGCCGCCCTCGAAATATGATGGAATATGTTGAATATTATTATGGTTCAAGTGATTATATTTGACCCTGGAATGAAAGTAAGCTCAGAAACAAGTAGATTTTAGCCCTTCCAACCAGGGGCGTGCTGGCAGGGAGTTTAGGAGGACGGTGTCCTCCCAGACCCCCATTAAACAATAAGTTCACCCGTATAAGCGGGCCCCCCGAGAGCTCTAATTTTCACGCGGAATCCCCTCAAAAAATTGAGAGTGCGTACGCGAAAAATCATACATACACAACGATTAGTAAAATATATTATGCTGACGTGCAAATGTCTGTCACCTTAAGGTGAAATGGTCTTTGATACATGTATTCATGCCTCGATATGTATAAGATGCAATTTATTATTTGGATAGAAATACATTGTATTAGCATTATATTAAGCAGACCTGTCATGTGTGTCTTGTGTAGTACAATAGTATGTCTTATAGTCAAAATAGCAGCATAAATTTGGAAAATATGATACCTAGATTTCTCCCAGAAGTGCTTGCAAAACGCGTTTCCCGTTGTCAAATTTCAAAAATTTTCTGGGGGGACAACCCCCCCAGACACCCCTACCAGCGGCGCGCCTTCGGGGCTCGTCCTCCCGGGCCCCTTCGTGGCCAGCACACCCCTGCTTCCAACGAGATGGATAGCTCTTGGACACGATAGACACTTTTCAGATTACAGCCTGTCCGAGAATTGCGTGGCATCCATTTCGTTTGGTTATTAGGACACATAGCGGTTAAACCTGGAACTGCAACTCGAACTATTCAGAGATTTATTAACTCGCTTTTGATGATACTTGCTGTTTTATGATGCGATTTTTTATTACCTAGGGAGGAGTTGGCCTAGTCGTGCCTTCCACTAATTCGTACCACCCTGATGCCAGCGTTATTGGTAAGAATCAGGAGACCGGCGCAACCGGCATATAATGGGGCCCTCCGAAGGCAGTGTTTAATCTACTGAAATACTGAAAGACTGAAATCTACTGAAAACTAAAATTAAAATACAAAATAAAATATGGTCAATAATGGAGGTGGACTGATTGCGTCTTTTAAAACATTCAAAACATAATAGGCATGAACAAAATTTTGGAGAAAAAAAAATCGGAATTTTTTTTTTTTTTTTTTTGGGGGGGGGGGGGATATTTGTAAAACGAACATCGTAATGACCTTGACCATCCTTCATCGGCGCTCACTTGGTCCAGGCTCCGGGTTACCTATTTAGGGTGTTTTCCGGTATTTAGGATGTTTTCCGGTATTTAGTGTTTTTCCGGTGTTTTCCGGTATTCAGTATAAAATGGTGTTTTCCGGTTGTTTTCCGGTGTTTTCCGGTATATAGTATGGCCCCCTAGACGACCAGCCCCCTGGGCTGTTCCAAAATATGTAGTAAAAAACGATGCATGGGTTATACGACGGATGTGGCGACCGGTTTAGCGTCTGCCGCTCTCCACGTCTGACAAACGACCCATGGTGCTACACTACTTTGTAAAGAACTCCAGTCTGTATAGTTTTCTGAAGAGAAGTTGAACCGGCGCTGGTGACGACATGAGTTTTGTGTTACACGATATTATTGAATAAAAAGATAACGCTATTTGGATACAGATATAGTAAAGTAAATGATATTAAACCCCATCAATTAACCCACCAGCAGAAGATTGAATTACGATACGTAAGATGATCAATAACACTTCCAGTTATCCGACTGATCGGATATTTTCTATTACGGTAAAATATATATTCCGAGAGAAAAAGTATAAAAAATATGGAGATTTATATTACACGACATGATATTAGATGCATCCGTTAATGATAGTTAGTTACAGGCTACATGGTAATAAATCATATACTGTATATCAAACCTCATCATTTAATGTCATAGCAAAAGGTGGAGTTTACGATACGTAAGATGATACAGAGCGGCTCCTACTAATCATAGACTGCAAGGAAGGGTATGTGTTATAAATATATACATATTATTCTACGCATCATATTATCCAAATTTAAAGTCATTTCACAAACTGTTTTTTTATGAAATCATTTATATGTTGGATCTGCTGTGTAGAATATACATCTTTCCTTGTCGGTCACATTTGGCAGGACCGTTTTTGTCAATATTTCAATAATCCATAACTTTGGCAATTTGTTTATGATATCATTTAAATTTTGGAAATGATGTGCAAAATGTACATATCTTTTTGCAATACTTTGTCGGCGATTAGTATAGCATGACCGCATAAAGTCTGTGATTTTACAAGAATGTGGGAATTGAATGCGACGCATAAGTTGTCATAAGAAAGGGTCTTTTTATTTTTATTTTTTTTATAAATTGTGAATATCAAAAATGATTGCCTGATCTTTCAAAATATGATCACGACAATCAGATTGCCATCATTGTTACAAGAATATAAAACAATCAACGAGATTCAAAAGCTAACATAATATACACCTATTGGTGGATAATTGTCCATGTCTTAGGGACAATTTGTTTTAATCAAAAACTATGTAATTGCAAGATAAACAATTCTATAAATAATGAAAATCTCGAGAAAACAAAATAGAGATTCTCTAATCTAATATTTTAGTTACAAAAGAATTCATTACGCAGGGTGAGATTAAAGATATCCAGACGTATAGGATTTCGACATAAT